CACTAGATAGAGGTAGCTAAGGAGGATCAGCCCAAGACAACATTCTCCTCTAGATATTGATGCTACAAGTTTATTATGATGCCCTTTGGTTGAAACTTACGCCCTTGCAAAACTTTCCAACGTTGTATGAATGACATGTTTGGAGACTGGCTTGACGGATTTGTTGTAGTCTATTTGGATGACATCTTAGTGTTCCACTTGAATGACATCTTACTGTTCAGCAAATCGCTAGAGGAGCATTAGGAACACCTGTGGAAAGTTTGACCAAGTTAAGAGAGAGTAAGTTTAAAGTTTAAACGAAACCCAAAACAGTGTGAACGGGCTAACCGGCGAGTTCTGTATTTTCTATTTAGGCATGTCATAGATGGAGATGGAGTACAACTTGAGGACAAGAAGATTGCGGCCACAAGCAACTGGCCAACATCGGAGATGGTCACGGAACTACATTTATTCCTTGGACTGGCCAACTATTACAGGAAGTTTGTTGGAAACTTTGGCATCGTTGCAACACCACTACATCGCTTGTTAAAGAAGGAAGCACTGCGGTTATGGGATAAGGACTGCACATCATCCTCCACGAAGTTGAAGCAGGTGCTAACAGAGTACACAGTTATAAAATTGCAGATCCTTCCTTACCGTTTGTAGTGACAACATATGCTAGCCAGTATGGGATAGGAGCGGTACTAGAGCAAGATGATGGGAGAGGTTATCACCTTGGAAAGAGTTCATATCCAAGAGGCTACTGTCTGATAAAGTAGGACCTATGAGAGGGAGCTCTACGCACTGCATGAAGTAGGACCTATGAGAGGGAGCTCTATGCACTGCATGAAGCCGGCAGACACTCGGAAATATATTATGTCCATGCGATGTACATGGGCTAAAGACAGCCTCTGATGTCCACAGAGTTGCAGCGGTGGGCACGTGTGATCAATGACTTCGACTTTGACTTGAAACCAGTAAAACGGAAGTATAATGTCGTTGCTGATGCTCTGTCAAGGCGAGTTGACTTCTTTGGAGTAATTGCTACTTCTTTGGATGCAGGGCAAGAACTACAGCCAGAAATTAGAGAAGCTTATGAGAAAGATAAAGTCTATAGTGAGATAATAAACAGAGTTAGAGAGAAGCCCCACGAGTCCCGACTATAGAATCAATCGCCAATGGGCTACTATTCCTCACATCCAATGGTCAAGATCAACTTTGTGTACCCAATAGTGAAACCATTCGTAGTTTCATCTTGGGACAATGCCATGACACCAAAGGACATTTTGGATGGAGGAAGACCCTATGCCACGTTACTTCGCTCATACACATAGCCAGGAATGAAATCCGATCGTATATAAGTATATGCAAGAGTGTAGAGTCTGTCAAAGGAACAAAAGTACTGCTGCGGCAGTCTCAGATTACTCAGACCACTACCTATCCCTTCTCAACTTGGAGACTGGTTCTCCATTCAGTTCATGAATACCAAAGTTGTGAGCTGAAGGGGAAACATAGTCAAGTTATGGTTGTAGTGGACTGATTCAGCAAGTATGCGAAGTTTGTGGCTCTACCGGCAAAGGCAAAGTCAGATATGGTTATGCGCGAATTCTTTGCACACTGGTTCAACGATAATGGGCATCCTCTGACCATAGTTAATGATAGGTACGTTAGAGTTACAGGGGATCAGTTACAGATCAAACGGATGAAATTTTATGGATCATACTATACTATCATAGTTTATAGTTTGCTATGTCATCAGGTTGATACCCTGAGACAAATGGGCTGACTGAACAAATGAACAAGTTCTGCAGCAGACTCTCAATATGTATATTAGACCTGACCAAAAGTAGATTGGGGTGAACACTTACTTAGGGTAGGTAGCGCATACAACAAGTTCGTACGTTTGTCCACTGCCCGGACACTGAATGAGTTCATTAAGGGATGGAAGCTCCGTCAGCCGATTGACTGCCTCAAGGCTGATCAAGTCCAACGGTTGCCACCTGGCACATGGGAGTTAAGAAGACCTGCCAAGAAAAATATTAGACATGCCCATCACAAGATGGTGGAACAAGCTGACAAGCATAGAAGATTGTTTCAGTTCGCTGTCGATGATTTGGTCTGGGTAACGTCTAAAGAGTTTGTACCCAAAGAGAAGTTGCTACCTGCATACCAAGGACCGTGGGAAGTGTTAGACGTAAAGGGAGAAGCCGATGGATCGACACCTGAACTGAGGGTCCACAGGAGACTACATAATCGATGTTCCCCATCATCTGCAAACTTATCCTGTACTTCATGCCTTTAAGTTACTGCCTGGAATTTGGGTAAGTCGTTCCCCTTACACAGATCGATGATCCCACCTGACATGGATGGAAGTTACAACATTGATCGAGTAGCTGATCAGGAGACACTGGGAATCAGACAGGGGGGACAACCACAGGAACCGTTCAGAGTCCGATGGCAGTGCCAGGATCCAGAAGAGGATAAATGGTTCCCAAAGGACCAGCTCACGGAAACTCCACCCAGAATCGTTTCGCGTTATCAGCAGTTCGCAGGGGGATCTGCACTACGGACAGGTAGGGCTATTAACTGTCTAGGAGGAGCTCGAATCTAGGCGGGCAGGAGTGAAAGGATTCCACAGCCATCCAACCCAGTTCCAGTCCCAGTCCTGAGTCCCAAGTACCAACCCCAGTCCCAGTCTCGGTTCCATGTACGGTATTGTGTGTCCTAGGCAGGGTCCAGAGTCTATAGGCTCTATATTTAGGTCCCGTTACGTTAGCTTTAGTAGCCTGTGGTAGAAAATTCCTGGGTAGATATATCAGTTATGGGATGGAGGAAGTTAGTAGAAGCCGTTAGTCCAACTTTTAGTGGTCGTTTCAGAAGCAAAGTCCCAGGAAAGCCTCCAAACTTCCAGGAGCGACAAACATTGGCAGGATGCTGGACACATAACTGGTAGCTACAGTCCGGAAGGCAAAGTGCCAAGTGCAAAAGTGCAGCTGAGGAAGCAATCAACACATATTCACTCGCTGGCTCAGGTGGAAGCATTGCTGCGCTATTCTGGGCTGTCTTGGAGTGCAGTGCACTGTGACTTGGTAGTCATAGTCAACGGCGCTGGGCGTGTGTCGCCAGTAGACACAGCTAGGTCGAGAGTGATGCAGAGGGAGAGCAGGAGAGGTATTCAGAGAGAGAGAGACATTGGACAGGGGTAGAGGAGTAAGGAGTGAGGGTGAAGGAGCAAGTGAGCATAGGAGCGAGTGAGCATAAGTGAGTGTGTACTTGGGCGGCTATAGCCAGCCCTGGTTGAAGAAGACAATTCTGTATATGTATATGAGTTGGATTGTAGTGACTATTTTTAGTTCATATCTTATATGCACTTCTGTCTGTCCGGCTTTGGTGTGAGATCGGTGTGGAGATTGTTGGATGCATGGGTGGTCTCAATTCAATTATTTTATTTAATGATTTTTATTTTAATTAATTGATTATATTCGGAGAGGAGGAGGAGAGGTTGAAGAAGATGGAGTTGGGAGAGAAGTGAGGGAGATGACATTGTTTCGAACTTCGAACTTGTGTATTTCTCTTCGTCTTATTACCTTCTGCAGTCTACTCCCCTGCTTGTCTCTTTTCCCTTCTGCTTGAGTTCAGCAAGTCTTGCAACTGTCTCATAGTCACTTTTGCATTATGAATGAGGAAGGGTCATAACGCTCAGGCGAAGTCTAGATTTGCTGATCTGAAGAAGGTCTACTAAGCACTCTAGGATCAGGTTCTGGGTTCAGAACTCGCCGAGAACAAAACAGGAAACAACTTGGAATACAGCAGGGTTGCATACCTGCCGACTGCCGACCCCGGCCGCCGACCATTTTGCAGCCGACCAGTAGGGCCGACCGGTCGGCGGTCTGCCGACCAGTCAGAAAACAGCCATCCACTAAATGTTTTTCAATCTGATTTGGGGGCTGTACTGCACTTGCTGAATACAGCCCAACTCTGCTGAGAAACGTTTGGGGATGGGGGGGGAGAGTATAGGGAAGGTATGGGGGGGTGTAGGGGTGGTATAGGGGGTATTGGGGGGGGGTATGAAGGTGTTGGGGGGCGGTTTGAGGGTGTTGGGGGACTCCCAGAAAGAAAACAATTCAAAATTTGTTTTTAAAATTTTCAAGTTTAAACTTCAAACCTTTTTTTTTTTTTTTTTTTTTTTTTTCGGGGTGCCAACGGTCCCCCGACCGTTAGGTGCCAGTCAAGGGGCACTAGCGGTTAATGGAAGGCAAAAAATTCGGGGGTTTTCGCCGCATCGCTACACGCAATGTTGTCGAAACTTTTGCGAACAAACTATGCAGGGTCATAATACAAACATCAAAAAAACAATCAGGCAAAAAAAATATGAAAAAATCAAACTCAAGAGCACTATAAATCCCTATTTGGAGTAGCTTTTGGAGTTCGCCAAAGCTTTTTTCGAGTCTGCTGTTTTTGCGAAGTTTTTTGTTACTGCTTCAAGTACGGCGAAACTGAATACAGATATACCCTAAAGCACATATATAACAGGCAAAAAGAAAAACTGAGAAAAGGGTAAAAATTCAGGGGAATATGACAGTTTTGGTGAAAAATTCACCGAATTTTGGGCCTTCCATTACCAGTCAGGGTATGCAAGACTGGAATACAGCAAATACTTGACGCTGGTTACAGGTTCAAATTCCGCTGGCGCGAAAGCTGGAATGGCAAGGAGACAAGCCAATGAGTTTGTGCTGGAATAGTCTTCATGCGGAGTAGGTTTGTCCTGTGATGTTGAAATCTTGGAATATTTCTGGTGGATTTGCAGTGTGCAAGTTTCTTTATTGAATGGGATGCATGCTATCAAGGAAAGTAACACGCAAGAAACTCCTGCTCTGGGAAGAGATCTGGCACTGCCATCTGCTGGCCATGTGTCACACAATTATGCCCTCCAACAACTGGGGATCACCCAAACAGGCAGCTCTATAGAGAAAGATCTGCCAAATTTGGCATACGTTTCAGGTCTCAGGTCCCAAGCGAGGGCCCAATATCAGAAACTGGCAGCTAAGGTACACAAGCAAGAAAACGACTTGAAGAGGCATGTCATGAGGACAGCTGCAATGAGTACATCTGCTGCTCGCACCCGCAAAGTGTGTGGGGAACAGCATGTCAATGAGGAAGTGTTGAGGGGGCAAGAAGTGATGATCAAGGAACAGCGGCAACGTCCACAAGCCGTGGTCTCCAAGTCTCTCAACCAAATAGAGGCAAAGCGTACAAGGGAATTCCTCCCCAAAGAGTCCAAAATGGGGGTTGCAGCACCAAGTGAGGTTGATGAGGCAGCTGTGAAGCGTCGAGAGTGTCTACCTAAGCTTGTTTTGGCTGTCTTGGAGAAAAGCCAGCCACAAATGAGTGAACAAACATACAATGAGCAAGAAGCTAGCATTAATTCCAAGGAGGGAGCACAGGTTGCAGGTGGCGGGGAACAACGTAAAGGAAATGCAGAAGCAGGAGAAACACAGAATGAAACTCATGGTGGGTGGAGGAAATCAAGACAACGGTTTCGGCGCCGGGTGTCATCTCAAGAATTCTCTGATGGAATGTGCCTCTCGCCTCAAAGGGCAATTGGTGTTCAAACAGCGAGGGCAAGGTTGGAGGTATGATTGCCTGTTTCTACATGTAAATCGATGCTGTGCTAGCCCTGCCCGGTGATATCCAACATTCTTTCCTATGTTGTCTTGCCAATGCTCTGTTTCTTATATTGCCTTGCCAATTTTGGAGGTTTGGGGAAAGGCGGATGCTTGCCACTTTTTTTCTTCGTTTTGCTGGGGGCGCGGGGAAGACTAAGTTTCTCAAAAGGTTTCTGTTTTTTGGGGTGGGGTGGAGGAGGCGGCGTTATTTTTTGCTTTTGCTGGTAAGGAGAGGGAGGGATCCCTTTGCTCCCTTCCTTCCCCCTCTCATCTGTGCCACGGGTGAAGCCATGGCGGGCAAATGCCTCTACTTTATAATCACAAGGAGTGGTAGTTTGCAAGGGATGATGATGATGATGGAGGTGGCAAGAAGAGGCGAGAAGAGATTGAGTCAATCTTGTCTTCTTCTTCTTTGTTCTTTGCTTCATTCTCTTCTCTTTCTTTCTCTCTCGCACTTCTTCTTGATTGGTGAGATAGCATCTGACTCGGGCTTTGAGACTCTTTAAGTCGTCATCTGGAGGGGACCATATGGAGGCCATGTACCACAACGTGGAGAAGATCGACGTATTGACGATTAGTGCTCTCCCAATTAGAGATGCCTGAGCCTTTTTACAAGGGGCCAATCGTGATATTGCCCTCGCAATCAGGTTTTGTCCCATCCCTGGCCATGTGCCATTTTTGTTGACCATGATTCCCAGGTAGCGGAGTGCTTGGTCCCCAGTGGACCAAGATAGGGGGCTGGGGATGTCTTCTGGTTGAGGGGGGGTACTGTCAGCCAGCCACCACCCTTCGGTTTTGGCCCAGTTGACCTTCATTTCGGATGCTAGCATTGTCTCAGAGTTGAGTTTCACACAGAGAATATGGTGGGATCATATCAGAGACAGACAGACATACACACACACACACACAGACAGAGACAGAGAGAGAGGGACACACACACACACACACACAGAGAGAGAGAGAGAGAGAGAGAGAGAGAGAGAGAGAGAGAGAGAGAGAGAGAGAGAGAGAGAGAGAGAGATTGATCACAACAGTTTCGAACGAACTACGTGAGGCGTTACATTTCATAGTGAACGTAGTAAGTCCATGGCCTGCGATCCTGCACACGGGTCGCAGATACCCTTCTGCCTCCTGCTCAGGTACCCATCCCAGCCACTGTCTCAGTGTACATACTCTGCATTCCTCATTCCCTCCTGTCTATCCACACACCACACATGAAAATTACTTAGTCAATAATAACCCAAAATACATAATAAGAATAATAATATATCCCAAAAATCCCGAATAATGTTCAAAGATTGCTCCAACTTCATAAAGAATCAGGTTCGCTCCAAGTTTCCAGAATAAACAACACATTTCGTGTGGCAAATAATCGACGCGAATATCGCTCCACTGTTCCATGATAACGAACGTATGAGCCTCGCAGAGCCCTTATCAGACATACAAGTGTTCTGGGATGTGGCCCCCAGCAAGCCCGTGCCCGCCCTAACTGAAGGCAGGCCTGAATATCCACGTGAGGTCTGTTTCCAACATTCTTCCATATGTGGGTACTCAGACAGTTGCAGCACGCCAGTTGGTTACAGAGCAACGTGAGCCTCCAGGAACTTTCCAGAAGCAAAGGGCTGCGCTGTACGGTTGAGCCCAGGTCAGGTGGTTGCGCCCTGGGCAAACGCTGTGTGAGGCCGACACATCACGGACTGGTTACGGGCCAATTAGAAAGTAGCATTGTGCCATTGTCGTCAAAGATGTACGGCGAGCCAATTAGAATGCTGCAAACACCTGGAGGCTGGGTGGCTGCCTGGACGTGCCTAACTGCACGAAGCCCAGGCCAGTATCTGAAACTGGGCCTGGGCGCAGACACTTGGGGCCAGAGGCAAGCTACTGGGCCCCCACACACCTGGCCAGGCCAGCCAGCAGCAGACACAATTTCCATAAAGGAAAATGTGTGCTCCCTGGGCAGGCATGCTGGCCTTGGCAGGCAATGTGGACACGCTGCTGCGTTGCTGCGCTAGTGTCTGCATGGGCGCTGCTGGTCGGACGCGCGCACGGGCGCTGCTGAGGCAGCGCGTGCACAGCAGCCGTAGCCGGGATGCAGGGGCGCAGGCAGGTGATGGCGATGGTGGTCTTCGGGTAGGAGGCGCATGCAGAGGGGGTCAAGGTGTGATGATGGGAGGAGAGAGAACGTACCTGGTGTATGCTGGTGGTCGGCATCGGTGTTGATGTCATGTACATTGGTCTTCGACTTCAATGTGATCCAGTCACATGAATGTGGATAGGCTAGTTAGGCTGAGTAGTATAGGCTGGGTGCTGGGCACCAGAGAGTAGGAACGACATTGGATACAGTGTTGGTGTGACCACAGAGCGCCGACATCGGCACTTAAGTTCATTGTATTTGTGATGACCCGTCCAAACATGGACTGAAACACACAGATGATTTCTGAGTTTTGCCCATAGACTGACTTCCCTGCTGAGTTTCCCGCTTGCTACTAAGTCTGTGTGTGCACGCTTGCTGGACTGCATGTCTGTCTGAGTGCTGGTTGGATTGAGTGTGTGTGCGGCCGTGCCTGTCTGAGTGCTGATTGGCTTGAGTGTGTGTGTGGCCGTGCCTGTCTGAGTGCTGGTTGGCTTGAATGTGTGTGTGGCCCGCAAGGGCACTTGCTCGTTCATTGGGCCCTCAGGGCCGGTACTTACCTGTGGCCGTGACATTGAGGGATGGCAGCAGGAAAAACACTCAAGTAGCGGGTAGGCCGGTACCGC